TTTATCAAAAGTGACAGTAAAGACATTTATAATGTAACAAAATATTTCTATTTCAAATTAATGCTGTTCTTTTGAACTTTCTGTTCATCTGTGAATCCTGAAAAATAAAATGAATCACCGTTTCCACAAAAATATTGGGCAGCACAACTGTTTTCAACATTGATAATAATCAGAAATGTTTCTTGAGCAGGTAATCAGCATATTAGAATGATTTCTGAAGATCATGTGACACTGAAGACTTGAGTAATGATGCTGAAAATACAGCTTTGATCACAGAAATAAATTACATTTTAACACATATTCACATAGATAACAGCTATTTGAAATAGTAATAATATTTCGTAATTTTACTGTTTTTACTATATTTTAATCAAATAAATGCAGCCTTGGTGAGCAGAAGAGTCTTCTTTCAGAAATGTGTGTGTTCTCTGGCAATTGAATCCATGACCTTGGCGTTTCTAGCGTCAGGCTAAACCAGTTGAAGTACAGGAACTGTCACAGCTGAACTGGTAGTGATGATTTTTGTTGTACATGTTGTACTGTGGTTGTGTGATATAACTCTTACAATCACAGGATCAATGTAAGAGAGGTTAAAGCGTGTTTTAGTGTCATTGCATGTGTGTGTGTGTGTGTGTGTATGTGTGTGGTCGGTTGGCTGACTCATCAGCTGTCTGTTATCGCTGTGACTGATGGCCGCTGTCCAAACTTCACTCTGGTTGGATAAAAACGTCCCGTCAGATGGTGGAGTGTGAACGTGTGACAGCAAAACACAGAATCAGAGAGCTATGCATGTTTTAACGAATGCACACATGCACTAGATGAAAATGAGCAGCTTAATGACTTCAAAATGCAAATCAGTGACAGCACGATAATGTTACACCGCATATCATATTAAAGCAAATGCAATGAGAGTGTCACAGCGATTTTAACACTTTTACATCTTTTTAATCGCATTCCTGGTCTTATTGTGAATTATTCATTAGTGCATGTTATTCTAAATAAATTGCATTTAGTATATTGTTTTTATTGAAATATAGAGATCACTTTTCACGATCTAATCAATTCCTGCCTTTCATTTGGAAATACTGTACATCACATTACAGAAGCAAAATGGATTGCAAACAGTGTTTAATATTGATTTTAATGGATGTATGAAGCAGAATGAAAAACAGCAGCAACAGCAATATTATATTAAAAACACAAATAGTCAATAAATTATTCAATTTCTTAAATCACAATGAAAATCATTTTTTTCTGCCTTTAGCAGAACTGTAGACCGTTTATGCATGTCAAGTAATGTTACATATTTTATTGGAGTTATTCTGTTTCTACCCTTGGAAAGGTCTTTAATCAAGTTAATCCAAATGTAGTTTTAGAATATTTAGGAAAAATGCATTTTAAATATGTTTAGTGTCTATTTTAAATTTTAATAACTCAAGTATGGTTTTCACCATGAAAATAGATAAAGAAGCTGACTTGCCATTGAAAAACATCCATTTGGAATTTATCAGATCTGTTTTATAATAATGCTTTGTGTTTTGTTCATGGGCAGCTAATAAAGTTACACTAATGTTCAAAGCTTTAGGGTCGTTAAGATATTTTAATATTTTTAAAAGAAGCCTCTTCTGCTCACCAAGGCTGCATTTATTTGATAAAAAAACAGTAATATTGTGAAATGTTATTCCAACTTAAAATAACTATTTTCTACATGAATATATTGTAAAATGTAATTTATTCCTGTGATGCGCAGCTGAATTTTCAGCATCATTACTCCAGTCTTCAGTGTCACATGATCTTCAGAAATCATTCTAATATGCTGATTTGCTGCTCAAGAAACATTTCTGATTATCATCAATGTTGAAAACAGTCGTGCTGCTGAATATTTTTGTGGAAACGGTGATGCATTTTATTTTTCAGGATTCACAAATGAATAGAAAGTTTAAAAGAACAGCATTTATTTGAAATAAAAAATCTATTTGTAATAATAGGAGTGTCTTTACTGTCACTTTTAATCAATTTAATGTGTTCGCTGACTAAAAGTAAAACATTCTTTTAAAAAATCAAACTTTTGAACAGTACTGTGTGAAAGATTACTACAATTTAAAATAATTATTTTCTACTTGAATCTGTTTTAAAATGTAGTTTAGAAAGCAACATTTTCATGCATATTCTGCTAATTATCTTCAAACTGAATCTACTTAAAGGTGACATATTATGCCCCTTTTTACAATATGTAATATAAGTCTCTGGTGTCCCCAGAATGTGTCTGTGAAGTTTCAGCTCAAAATACTCCACAGATCATTTATTATATAATTTTGAAAATGCCTATTTTGAGTGGAAGCAGAAACGCGCTGTTTTTCGGGCCTGTGTCTTTAAATGCAAATGAGCTGCTGCTCAC